GACTTTGTGGAAAAAAGAAAAAAGAAATACAAAAAAAAAAAAAAAAAAAAAAGAGTTAACTCCATACTGCTACATTATTACCACTGATTCAGGAGATGTGAGAAAAGTGAATAGTCATGTTGCCTTAAAAATATTAAAAATCAAATGTGCATATTAACAACAACGTTAGGCTCTAGAAACTGTATTTACACCAATTGGCTCACTGATCTTTTTTGTTTTTTTTGGTTTCATAGGAGAAAATGATAGGCCAGTACAAGAACAAACACTAAAAGGACTAAAACACACTGAATGTTTTGTTAATTCTTTTTTCTTTGGGATTTTTGCCATTGTCTGAGGAGTAAGGGCGTGGATATGCAGTGTGTGTGTGTGTGTGTGTGTGTGTGTGTGTGTGTACATGCATAATTCATTCACAAAACTCATTCTGTGATCCTCTATGAGACATATACACACAGGCTGCTAAAAAGCCTTAAGGGATGCACTGTACTGAGACAACAGGAACAGTCAATACTGCATTTAGCAGCAAAGTCACAATGATGAGTTGAAAAGCCAATACAGTAGAAGTGGATTGCTAAACCAACCCTGTTAAGTGCCTCTAAATCCTCCCTGTGTACGAAAGCCTTTATTTCACAAGATATGCTGATTAACTCATAACTCTGATGGAATGTCAGATAGACAAAATAGAGAGTTCGGGTTCAAATGCAAACATGAGGGCAACACAGACTAAAGCAGTCAAAACTGAGTTATACTCACATTGTTCAGCTCTGTCTGGTGCCCAAACAGAGCGTGGTACTTCCTGTATTTGCCCTGGCGGTATTTGTTAGTGATGAAGCGCCGCCTCTCCTCAGTGCTGCTCGAGGGTGTCAAAGCTTCACTTGGTGGAACGTTGGCTGCCCAGAAACTGTTTACCTGCCCGTTGCCAAGCAACAGGAACACCTGCATCACAGGTAGGATTTTGGAGAAGTATTTTCACATTAGGAACGGTAGGAGGCACGTGTGGTCCACGTGTTGTGTTCTAACAACATACACTGCGCAGTTCATTAGGTATGCCTGTAAACTTTTTGTATTATTGCTTTCATTGCATTACACTGGACCAGGTTCTAATATTGTCAAACCCTACTGTGTGTGTAAAGGAATTCAGTGCAACTCATTACAACACCACCTCTCCTACAGCTTCAAATAATACCACAGAGTTCAATAAACGACTAACCCTGTAAGCATCACAATGATTAACTGCAGAGCCTCTGTACTAGACCATTTTAATTGATATACATGAACGTAATAAACTGGTACCTCAGTATGAATAAAACTGCATTTCTATGTGTGCTTAAATGAATTAGTCAAGAATAAGCAGTCTCTGTCCCTCTAGGATAACAAATATGGTTGCAACATCTTGTATGCTGGAGACATTTTCTGCATATTCGTGTACCTGTATAAGTTCCTCAGTCCAGACTTTCCTGTCCATCTTCAGACTTCGAACTTTTGAGATGCTAGGACCGAGTCCTCTGTGTTCTCCTGAGACAGACACATACACTTTGAAGACAAATTACATGCAGATCGTGTAACACTAGTGTGAAATTTTACAAGTTGGCTGCAACCACTAAAATATGAGGGTTTACACCAAGCTAACTGGTATTTGGCTTAAATTCCTATCAGTCATCGTAACACAGCAAAGGGGAAAAAATAAATAAATAAAACCAACATATTACATGTACAGTGTCATTCTAAACACAGTTTGAAGATGTATGATTATATGTAAACTTATGTAGACAAAAGGCTAAAAACAATTTCAAAGCTTTGTTCAACAGAATATATTCACTTTGACAAATGTACAAACAGGTGCACACACCAAAAACACATTAAATCCAAACCCACACACAAACAAACCTGCACATTGTTTACAGATCACCACACACAAGTTGACGCCTGCCCATTCTGGTTTAGGAGCCCCACAGTCGGCACAAAGACTGTTGCTAGGCTCTGCCCAGATGCGGTTCGCCACCTCGCAATTGGACAGCGCCTCACCTATGGCATTCAGCATGGCGGTCACCCACTGCTCTTTTAGCACCTCTGACTCTGCAATGAAACTGTGGAGAGAGACAAACACACGGCCAAGTGTTGGTGCCGACATGACAGTGACAGAGCTACCAAGTGACAGAAATGGCAAAGCCCTGTGTGTGTGTGTACTCACTCAGTAGTGACTCTTAAAGACTGGAAACTATAACACACACTCATGTCTGAACTCTTCCTCTTTTCATCTGCCTGACAAGTTGGCTCTGTCTGTCCCTAAAATACACGTACATACACTTCTCAAATGGTCTGTACAAAAGACATGCATCCAAAACACACACACTCTTGGTCCCCTTCCTGAAATATCTCCTCATATACCACACACACACACACACACACACACACACACACAACATGCAGCGAGACACAGAGATACAGTAAATGTACACTACAGACCAAGACACACACAGACACAAAGTCCAACTCTTATATAAATACACAAGCCTTTTCACATTTCCCCATCCTGTCAAGCTGAGCCCCTTGCACTGTCAGCCAAAGACCACATACACACACATATCACACCAACACATGCACTTGGTCACAGACATATCCTCCCTTTTCTTCACACACACACTCTCTCTCTCATACAAAAGGCTTTTCACATTCTCAGAAGATGTCCAGCTGAGGACCCTGAAGAAAGATAGATGGTAAAAGCTTTCAGGAAATCAACATGATCTCATTTCTATTAAGTATCTTAGCACTGAGACCAACTCAGCATTGACTTACAAGTACAAATGTTTATCTTTACACTTTAATCCTTTTGAGAAAACAGAAACCCATGGCTGAGATGAGAAAAAGAATAGTCAGTGTATAGACAGCATACTTCCAGCATGTGACATGGATACACGCAGCACATATCGAGATCAACAGTTTTGAGTTTAGCGTAAACATATAGTACCTAAATATGCGGTAAGGTGTGGTGAGATCAAAGTTACGGCGATCTGTGTCTTTAACATTTCCTACATTCATCTCAATGGATGTGATGCCAACTCCAATTCGAAAGTCCTGGAAGAAAAAAGGATACATCATTTCTGTTTTTATTTCCATTACTGATCAACAGATGCATTTTAATCGCTCAGTACAGCACTGTTGTTTTGTAGCAGCACTCATTTTCCTCTGTATAGCATCTTACAAAATAAAGAACAAAATATAGAGCAAACTAACAGATTGATTTGAAACGCAAGGTTTGTTCACGCTGCTGTGGTTTGTTCACGCTGCTCATCTCTGTAATAACACACAAAACGACTCTTACCTCAATGCTTTTGTAGAGGAAGACCTTATCTGCAGCAACAACGGTATAAAGTTTGGAACGTAACCCTTTGAGCTCCAGATAGCCCTTAAAGTCTGGAATCAGTGGTGAACCAGTGTTCATGGTGCTGCTCTGATGGCGCCACCTGGTGCAGTCATTTAGTACAGTCACCCAGTCATTTCTTTCAGCTGGAAAGGTGAGCACATGAATAAACGTGTCTAATAAAACATACATACATAAATGTATATGAACTAAATACAGGCATGAGACATATGGACAGGACATATCACAAACAGTAAAATAAATTAGCCTGGGTGTGTGCAAAGCACCTACACAGATGACCAGATAAATCAGACAGACCTTCACTTTCAGCCTTGAAGATAAAAGTTCGGTTATTTGTGGCGACATCAAACCTGTGCTCTCCCACACTGTACACATTAGTGATGAAGGCTGTTGAGATAATGCCCTTGGAATACACATCCTAAAAAAAGCAGAGTAACAACTTCTGTTAAACAGACCTGTATCCACCATTCAGATGTGTGTGTTTAACAGTCTATGTGGATGGGACAGCATGTTGACCCTGCCTACTGTATGTCTATTCTTGTGTTTCAATACATCAATGTGTGTAGGAGTGACCAGTGTGATTTTCCTGTATGTGTGTTTTTACCTTGTCACTGTCAAAGTATCTCAAATAGTCAGCATCCAGCTTTACCCATCGTCTCTGGTAATAAATGGCCCTGTGTAGGACACGCCACACACAAACACATGTACAAACATGTACAGTTAATTATTTTAGCATAATACAAGAAGAACTGGAATAGCTGCACTGCTTTAATAAGATGAGTAGTATTTTGATACATGGTGGCCAATTTATTTTATATTACTGTTTCAGTGCTTCACACAAAGCATGTTTGGCAGTTGATCTACTATTTAGCAGAGCCTCAGCCTGCGTGTGTGTGTGTTTATGTGTTGTCATTCACACCCCTGAGGTGAATTCTTGTCCAGCCAGCCCATCTTGATGACAGCGGCGTGCTGAGAGCATTGTTCTTTAGCAGCTGAAGCCAGTCTGCCGGTGTCGGGCAGGTAGACACTGCCCATCTGCTTGCTGAGACCCTCCTCCTGCCATAAGGTAGGACTATGAACGGACAGAAATATGGACGTACATTAACACACACATACTGACAATACAAAATTAACAAAAAGAAACCTGCAAATATGTTCGTATAATAATGTATACATTTTCTATACATATAAATCTACTATTAATTGTAATATGGGAGGTATTTCGAAGTGTCACTACCCATTTCAGTAGTAGTTTTCATCCATTCAGTCATAACAACTTAAAAATACAACTTCTAATCCTGTCACACACTCTTCTATAATAATATTGTCTTTGTTTAACCAATCAATCTCTAATGATTGTGTTGAAGCAAGACCAACAACATATCAGTCTTTTAGTAATCAAGAAAATACATAATGTACTGTACTAAATACTGTATGGCGTTACCATTTTCCACTGACTAGAGATACTGAACTGGAATCGATGTACTCAGTAAAGTGCATTTCTATTTAAATTACCTGATCTGACATATGTATTTCTCAGTGTGTTCAGTGTGTAATATAAGTAGTCACTATAATCTAACCCCATTCTACACCTCATATTTACAGTGTGATTTCAACCAATCAAGCTAATTGGCAATAAGCACAAACTAACAGTCTAATAATACACATTTAAAAAGACAAGAGTAAGTGAAAATATGCTAATTAAATTTCTGCTGGATGAGCCAAGCAACAGTGGCAATGATATGGAATGATAGTTGGCATAGTTTAGCAGAACCTGTCTTGCCACAAAATGAGTGTACCCCAGTGGCTCTGAATTGTCCACACCTTACCATACCAGGTAATGTATGTAAATGCATATACTAAAACAGCACAGGTAATAATTTGTAAATGACACAGATCAGTGGGCATTCCATAGGAGTCTGTAGCACAGTTTTACCTACTGCAGTGTGCAATGTGGCAGAACTCTACACCATACAGTATTACACAGATAAATATATTCAGACTTACAGCACTGACTAGTCAAGAACAAATTCTAGTCAACTGTAAGATGAACACATTTAACTTACAGTGAATAAAGGAACAGTAAATGCAACAGCCTGTTCCATATGAGCATGCACAAAAAAGCCTGAGAACAATTCGACTGGGTGAGCAAGATACTGTGCCTAAGCTATATGCGGATTACCAAAATCAGTAATGTATTGAAAACAAAGGCCAAATATACTGCATCTCTCTGGTTGCTCAGCAGTTGAACTACTGAACAATGTGTGTTTCTGTGTACGTGGTCTATTTGGGTGTTGATGCATGACTCACTCATCATCAGAATCCAACAGCTCATCATCACTGCACACGGAACTGTAGTGCCCCTTTGTCTGCCTGGGAACGTGCAGGGACATACCCTATTGGGGAAGACGGTCATCATTCATACTGTGCAGGAGGAGAGGAGGAAGAAGACATTAAAAGAAGGAAACATTTTCACTCACTCTACATACCCTGTCTGGTGTGTTCATGGGACGAGGGCCAGGGTAAAACAAGTCGGGATCCTCGTACTCAGAATTATCATCAAGAGAATCCAACCCTGAGGGAAGGAGCAGAAAATGAGAACAAATGAAGTGCAGCTCTACTTAGTGGAGGGATGTGATTTCCAGCAAAAGATTAAACAAAAAAACATACACACAGACAAAAACAAAGTGCAGACTATAAAGCCAGTCAGGATAGATGTAAAGAGGAAATAAATCCAGAAAATGAGCAATGCTGAAAATCCATTTTGAAGCCCACTTTATCTGGGTCACTTACAACTCATAGGTATACTCAACTCATTAACATTCCTTCTCACTAGAAAAGAATACAATGATGTGCTTGGTGAACAAGAACAGAAAAACTGTTCCCTTGAGCGTGTGAACATCCAAGCTGTGTGGCTCTCTCTCTCTCTCTCTCACTCACTTTTTCTTCCTATCCTCTCAGTGCTGGATCATCTGCCATCCTGGGATCTCTCAGTTTCCCCTGACTGTCAATGCCTCATTCAGGTATTTGGATCTGGATCTTCGTCCTCCAGGGCTCCTAGACTCATCTCTCTCTCTCTCTCTCTCTGTGTTCATATTGTACTCATCTCTTTCTCCTTATATGTGGTTGTTCATTTCTCCTATGCATGAGAATGATGTGCTTAGGTTTTGCCACTTTTGTGTTCATGTAGACCAGGGGTCTCCAACATGTCGCTTGTGAGCTACCAGTAGCTCACTACCCGATTCTGAGTAGCTCAGCTAAAGGTTCAGAGAGTATACAGTATGTAGCCTACAAAGCATGCATTGTAAAACTAAAAACATTAAACAGAACTTCGCTCAGTAAACCTGGGATCCAATCAAATACACAGATATCCCGCCCTCCTCTGGCACTGAATTATTTGCCAATCGCCTATCAATCCAATGAGTTACACTGTCAAGTTTGTTTGCGTCATTCAGTGATGTCAGCACCTAGTAGCCTAATATAAAACATGGAGCCCTCAGCCACTTTCATTTTTATTTTTTAAAAGTAGGTCTCCTAAAAAAAGTGAAACATTTTGAGCTTCATAAATGCAGATGTTAAGGTGGAAGTGTTGTATTGAATCGCATACAACTGTACAGGTGTACCTAATAAAGTGTAAGTTGAGTGATTGTAGTTGAACCCTAATAATTTCACCAGGACAGTTTGTTACAAGTTTTTCACTTTCTTGTCATGTTACTGATGTCATCATAAGACACTATATTAGTTCAAATGTTTACAAAGACTTTTAGCTTACCTGTTCATTAGAAACAGCTTCTGTACAGGTATGTGCCAAAAAATTAGAATATCGAGGGAAAGTCCATTTATTTCAATAATTTGTTTCAAAAAGTGAAACTTGTATGTTATATTCACTACACACAAAGTGAAATATTTCAAGCCTTTATTTGTTTCAATTTGATGATTATGGATTAAAGACAAAAAAAAACCCCAAATCCAGTATTTCACAAAATTAGAATACTTCATGTGACCAATAAAAAAAGGATCTTAAACACATGTTGGCCTTCTGAAAAGTGTGTTAATGTACTGCATTATGTCCTCAGTACTTTGTTGGGCCTCCTTTTGCATTAATTACTGCATCAAGGCGGCGTGGCATGGAGGCGATCAGCCTTTGACACAGTTGAGGTGTTATGGTAGCCCAAGTTGCTTTGACTGGCCTTCAGCTTGTCTGCATTTCGGGGTCTGTGTTCCCTCATCTTCCTCTTGACAATACCCCATAGATTTTCAATGAGGTTTAAGTCAGGTGAGTTTGCCGGCCAATCAAGTACAGTTATTCCATGGCTATTAAACCAGGTACTGGTAATTTTGGCTGTGTGGGCAGGTGCCAAATCCTGCTGGAAAATAAAATCTTCAGCTCGGCAGCGGGAAGCATGAAGTGCTCTAAAATTTCCTGCGTTGACTGTTAACTTGATAAAAGACAATGGATCCCCACCAGCAGATGACATGGCTCCCCAAACCATCACTGACTGTGGAAACTTCACACTGGACTTTAAGCAGCTTGACTTTTGTGCCTCTCCGGTCTTCCTCCAGACTCTGGGACCTTGATTTCCAAATGAAATGCAGAATATGCTTTCATCTGAAAACAGGACTTGGGACCATTGGGCAATAGACCAGTACTGTTTCTCCTTAGCCAAGCACAGACGTTTCTGACGTTGTTTTTGGTTCAGGAGTGGCTTGACGCATGGGATTCTACAGCTGTAGCCCATGTTATGCAGACGTCTGTATGTGGTGGTTCTTGATGCACTGACACCAGCCTCAGTCCACTCCTTATGAAGCTCCCCCAGATTTCTGAATCGCCCTTGCTTGACAATCCTCTCAAGGCTGCAGTCATCCCTGTCACTTTTGCACCTTTTCTGGCCACATTCTTCCCTTCTTCATAACACTCTGTTAATATACTTTGATACTGCACTCTGTGAGCATCCAGCTTCTTTTGCAATTGCCTTTTGAGACTTTTCCTCCTTATGGAGGGTGTCAATGATGGTCGTCTGCACAACCGTCAAGTCAGCAGTCTTCCCCATGATTCTGAAGCCTACTAAGCCAGACTGAGACAATTTCAAGGCTGAGGAAACCTTTGCAGGTGTTTTGCATTAATTAGCTGACTAGATTGGGACACAGGGAGCCTACAATGTTGAACTTTGTCATGATATTCTAATTTTGTGAAATACTGGATTTGGGTTTTTTTTTGTCTTTAATCCATAATCATCAAAATTGAAACAAATAAAGGCTTGAAATATTTCATTTTGTGTGCAGTGAACTAATATAACATACAAGTTTCACTTTTTGAAACAAATTATTGAAATAAATGGACTTTTCCTCGATATTCTAATTTTTTGACACATACCTGTACAGGTACTGTGTTGTCTAATCGTTGTGTAATAAATATACTTGATATCGTTATATTATCCCATGCGCTAGACTGAAATTTACCTCTTAATATTTATTTATTGTAGGCGCTCAACCAGAAAAGCTACATAGTTCTTAAGAGAGTCATACTGCACTCACAAATGGTACCTAGAGTAACCTAGAGCACCTAGTAGCACTCTCAGCTGTCCTTCCCAGACCATTTAGTTTCTGTGCTCACAAACATAGAATAACAAACCATCTCTAATCCAGATCCAGATAACTGAGTAACTAGTTTAATTAGTTCTGTACCTTTAGTTCTGTTAAGTTCAATTTTAGTTATGTAGCCCAATATCACAAATCGCAAATTAAAGAAGGAAACCTCATGAAGATCAGTAGAGAAGAGAATTGGCTGGTGAGAGTATATCAGGACTGTCTTTGATGTAAGAACTGCAAGTGTAATAAATTTAGGACAGTCTTAATAGGTCTATGGTATGAGCAAAAACTGATCAACCTTTGCATCTTTGACTTCTGTGGCAGGACACTAAAGATAATCTGTAAAGGTTTTTGTTTTAACCCTTGTCTAGATATAAGACAATAAAATCTAAATAGCTGCTGCAGACTATTTACAGATTATTTTTTTAGATAATAAAATGTCACAATATTTTCAAGTTGATTTTCAAGCTTATTGTTCTTCCAGTTAATCTCATATGTGAACTGTCTGTAAAATAAAGAAAAGGAAGCGTGTGGGTGATTGCAAAAGCATACAGAAGCTAATAACTTGAATATGATTTATATATTTTCACAAAACCTTTTAGGGTTAGTGTTAGGAGACTGGCATCATAACTCAAATATATCAAGGTCAACAATGAAGTGGGTGACTGTCTGGTGATGGTGGCAAAAAATAGGAAAATAAGGTACAGACTGGAAATAACCAGAAGAATGTCTGAACATGGTGACCACAATGATAGGAGACCCGCTCCTGTGTAGGTATGAAAGGTTCATTCTAAGCTAAAGAAAAGGCAACAAGTCTTATTTTCTGGTGACTACGCATTAATGAAAACATAATTAGGCATACCATAGCATGGCACTGCTTTTAGCCTTACACAATTGTGGCACATTACCGTCATGCCAGCAACTATTACTTGGCCTCTATGACTGACAGAGCATTGTTGCATGCTTTCAAACAGTTCTCGGTAGAACAATAATACAGGGATGGGCTCATCAAAACACTCCTGTACAGTGCCAATGTGGGGCAAAAATCTGCAGAGGATGCATGTAATGGTGGCACTTCTGATCTAAGCAGAAGATCTTCAATAAAACCACACAGGAAGACATGTTTGATTATAAATATCAGTACACAAGTAACATTACAATAACATAAGCATGCAAGTACTCAAGTGAAGCCTAATGCTAAAGCCTAAAATACATATTTGCAGCATAATTTTAATTTGTTTATATAGCACTTTACAACACTCAAGGGTGTTCAAAGTGCTTCACAGCAAAACATATAAAAATAAAAGCAGAACATAAGCACATATTTTAATTAAAATACTGTGCAGGCACTTTAGACTGTTTCCGGTCGCTTTTGATAAATCACTGAACTGTTTGGTCACAGGAGTAAAGAACTGCTGAGGAACTTTAAGGTTTGGATGGCAGACTGTATCAACTCTTAAACCTTAAGTGGAGCCAAGTTTGCAAACTAGCCTGACTGGATCCTGGGTTGTGTGCAAGGATAGGAACACTACGTGGCTTAAGGGTTAAGATACCGACCATGAAATACAATTTCAGGAGTTCAGATCCAGCCAGACACCTATGTTGTTTCTTGCCCTCATTTCTTTCTACTAAAGCAGTTTAATAAAGTCATAAAATCCTCATATTTTAATAGGTATTATATGCTGAATAGACTTACTGAACTCACGAGGAGGCTGGTAGATCCTAGGAGCCGGCTGAGTGTCAGGTTGACTTGATTTTTGTGCGTCTTGAGTTTGTGGTATCCTGATGCGAGGTAGAAGTGATGGGGTTTGGTCTTTCTGCATCTCATCAGTGACTGTCTTGGTGGGAGAGGGGCTGGCAAATAAAGGAGTACAGGACAGGTCAACAAAGGTTCGGAAATCAGGAGATGAGCCCTCAGACACCATGTTAATCTGAGATCAGGTGAAAATTCCAGACAGACGGGTGATTCTATACATCCTCTGTTGGCAAGAAAACCATTCTTCCTTTTACAACCCCCCTCCCTGTCTTCCTCCTTTTCATTCTGTAGTAAAAGCTATAAAGAGAAAAAAAAAAACTGAATCACTCTGCTGACAACTCTGGTAGCCAGACTGAGTCCACATTATCGGCTGTTGTTCTGGAGCATGCGTCTTCTTGCCGTCCCACTACTCTTATTAAATGCCAAGTTTTCTCTCTCTGCTTCTGGTTTTAGCAGCAAGACTGAACCTGCCTCACCTTATAACACAATCTCCATGTAAACACAGCATACCTCTGGATACTTGGTAAACAAACAATGCATTATACCAGCACAACACAAGCGTGCTGGTATAATGTTTTTACAGCATATTGTGGTGAAAAATTTGTGAGGTGAGACACTGATGTTGGATGAGAAGGCCTGGATTGCAGTCTCCGCTCTAATTCATCCCCAAAGGATTGAGGCCAGTCAGGTTCTTCCACACCAAACTCACTCATCCATGTCTTTATGGACCTTGCTTTGTGCAATGGTGTGTAGTCATGTTGGAACAGGAAGGGGCCATCCCCTAACTGTTCCCACAAAGTCAGGAGCATGAAATTGTCCAAAATGTCTTGGTATGCTGAGGCATTAGGAGTTCCTTTCATTGGAACTAAGGGACCAAGCCCAGCTCCTGAGAAACAACCCCGCATCATAATCCCGCCTCCACCAAACTTTACACTTGGCACAATGCAGTCAGACAAGTACCGTTCCCCTGCCAACTGCCAAACCCAGACTCGTCCATCGGATTGCCAGACAGTGCGATTCATCACTCCAGAGAACACATCTCCACTGCTCTAGAGTCAAGTGGCAGCCTGCTTTACACCGCTGAATCCGACGCTTTGCATTGCACTTGATGATGTAAGGCTTGGATGCAGCTGCTCGACCATGGAACCCCATTCCATGAAGCTCTCTACACACTGTTCTTGAGCTAATCTAAAGGCCACATGAAGTTTGGAGGTCTGTAGCTATTGACTCTGCAGAAGGTTGGTGACCTCTGTGCACTATGCATCTCAGCATCCGCTGACGCCGCTCTGTGATTTTACATGGCCTACCACTTCGTGGCTGAGTCATTCCCAATCACTTCCACTTTGTTATAATACCACTAACAGTTGACTGTGGAATATTTAGTAGTGAGGGAATTTCACAACTGGACTTATTGAACCGGTGGCATCCTATCACGGTGGAGTTCACTGAGCTCCTGAGAGCGACCCATTCTTTCACAAATGTTTGTAGAAGCGGTCTGCATGCCTAGGTGTTTGATTATATACACCTGTAACCATGGAAGTGGTTGGAACACCTGAATTCAATGATTTGGATGGGTGAGTGAATACTTTTGGCAATATAGTGTACATTAAATGCGCTCCCATATGAGTTCATACTGACACTTAGCTTGTACAGTGTACAGTACATACATATTTATCCAGCCATTCATTTCCAAATGATTCCTCAGAGTTGGGCTATGGTAGTGGTATGCTATGTATCTCACATGCACATCTCCCTAGCTACTTCCTACACTTCTGTCTGGGGGTCCAAAAGTTGTTCTCACTGCACAAATTAAAATCGTGATGTCAGCTGAAACAAGAACTGTGTAACTGTTTTCCCAATGCAACACACACACACAGGGACAACAGGGCTGGCATCGGAAGGAAATACACAACTGATGCAAACATTACCGCAGCTAATTTACTCATTTAATCCGCTGTTTATCCAAACATAAAAGGCAGGTGGTTTTGCATGTGAAAACAATGCACATCAACATAGTGTCTTAAATCTACAGATATGGTTCTTTATATTTACATCACTGTATTTTGGCTTATAGTATTTTCATGATCCAAAATTTTGTTAAAACACTGTTTACAAACACATAAGCTATAACTGTACATCATATACCTACACAATACAGAACATTTGCCTTGTTTATAGCTGATTTTCTTTCTTGCTATTCATACAGTAATGATATATGCACTCTGCTTTATTACTCTTTTTCCAAAGCTTACCGTTTATCATAAATACACATAAACTCCAAAACTGTGCAACTAATTAATTCATACACTTCAACAGCTTAAATAGTACACTATTGCCATACTGACGGGAAAGTTGAGAGTGAGTACACAGGCCCGGTTTCTTTCCAACCAGTATTGTGAAAGTTCCTCTTTATTCCTCCCTTTATCTGAATTTTGATCTCATTGCAGCTGCTTTGCTTGGAAAAGGCAGAAGCCATATGCCTATTAGTTACACAGCACAGTTAAATAGCATTGAGCTTGGAGAAATTTATTTTATTTAATTTACAAATAATCTGCACCATTCCTGGGTCAAACTGTAGTGAAAATCACTTAAGTCAAAATGGGAAAGAACCAGTGAGTGTATATAAATAGTGGACAAACCCACCATGACATCCCCCATTGGTTTTCTGAAGAGCAGCTTTGAAGCTCAAGCCTGGCTGCTGCCATACCGCTACTACTTCACTCATCCTCAAGTGGCCATTCAAGGAACTGCAAGTTTTAGCACCGCATTGGCTTCATTACTCAACCTTGGAGGTTGCCATTTGATTTATTCTTTCAAACATGCAGAACAATGACATCAACACACACATAATTACACAAATCCAACCAATGCTAATCCAGAATCAGTTTGCTTATACCTAGTACATGTTTGAATGGAGTAGGAAGAAGTCAGACTTATCCAGTCCTACCCCATAACATCATCTTATTCATGCATCATTGGCTGCAAGCAGTATCTCTACATAGGTAATTCTCTTCTTCACCAGACAAGTAATACACAGAAAATTTAAAACAGAGTGACAGAACTAGCACAATACGACAAGTCACAAAGCTCTAACAACAGCAGGAGTGCACCATCAACTTGGACCTGCTAGCTGTTTAATGAGTCTAAAAAAAAAAAAATTAAAAAAAAAAATTTTAAGTGGTCATACTGTCAGAAACGGCACGTGATGCTGCCGAAACGGTTTGGTGAACTTATTAAATGGCCAGACAAGGAAGTGATGAACAAAACCGTCTCTTTAATAAGAGAACTAATGTAAACAAAAAAACCATACAAGACACTGTGAAAACACAAAACTCACATGTCGGTATAACAGTCCAAGATCAGAGCCAGCAAACACATACATCAAGAGAATCCAAAACGCATTGTCCAAAGATAAGTCCGCTAAGCCAATACACATAAGCAGTCCGAATTTAAGAGGGCAAGGCAGAACAGAATAATCCAAGGAAACAGTCCGGGTCAGAAACACAAATACCAAAACCGAAGACAGTGCTGGAAAGTCAGAGCTGGGGTCTAGAACAATCTCAATCCTAAATAAAGGTGCAAACAGGTGCAAACAATAACGAAGCAGGTGAAACTAATGTGAGTGATGAAGAACGTAAAAAGACCAAAACAAAGGTGAAACAAAAACAGGAAGTAACGTCTAAATAAAGGCCGGACGGGAAACAGCAGAACCGAACCATCAACAAAATAATGTACATTAGCTGTCAAAACCATATATTGTATAACACTTCAACAATATACAAGGTTTAGATGAACAGGACATGATGTGGACCATGGTGTGGCCCTTGTGGACAAATTACACTGAATCTTTATGCACACACTTTTGAGACCGCTTTAAATTAAATGTGTGATTCTAAATATAAAAGCTAGTCATTATCTTTGTTAAATAAAAAAACAAAAAAAGGACCAACAATTACAGGAAACTGACCCATTGACAAAGTTCCTCCTTTTTTTCCAGAAGAAGAGTACTGAGAAGGGGGCCGCTAGCTAGATGCTATATTTAACCTGCTCGCTGTCACAGATGACAATAGGCTGACAATGAGTACTCATTTCTCCTCACACATAAAGTACATGTATTATAATTATTCTACATTTTAACCCCAAGATCACCTAAAAATGGCTAATGGACACACAAGTTATGGTGCAGACAGATGAGTTAAGCTAGCCTGTGTGTTAACTGCACGGTGTGCCTGTCATTTTAAATACAAGGACAACACATCAGGTTGTCAGAAATGAATACTGCAGCAAGGTAATCCATGCTTTCACTCACAGTCTATGTTCATAACTCTTTTGTATAAAAACAGTCAGGATGTTATTGCTGATGGGGAATGCAGTGAAGCTAAAGGCACATTTTTATCTTCTTAGAAACAACTGCTCTCAAGCAAGTCAAGGATGCCTTTGCAAAATTCCATCTTGCTAGTTTTCTATTCTTCACAGACATACTGGTACCACACCCATACCAATGTTCTCTAACCCTGCACAGCCCCAGGACAGAGCAGGATATCTACTGTTTCCCACAGCATCATTTATAAAAAACATTAACTACCTTACTCTGGTCATGATAAAATAAACTAATGTAAACACAATAAAAGTCTCACTAGTAGCACCAAATTTTCTATTCACTAAAATATGTGTAACACAGCAACAACACAGCGTAAAAAATGAACAAAGAAAGAAAGACAGTCTTCCTCGTTAGAAACCGTAACACAAACCAGAGGGAGGAGGAAGAGAAGAAGAGCATGCATGCTAAAGACAAGTAGAGACAGAGAAGGGACGTGTAGAGATACGATATGTATAGTTATATTACCTGTACAGACACGTTAAAAAGGAGTCCACTGGCTAGTGATACAACAATCTTAAACAAACACACGCACAATAGGAGAGGAGAAAAAAAGTAGGAGGAAATAACCAGCTAAACAGAAGATGGGAGGAGGCAAAAAGGCAGAGTGACAAGGAAACAAGACAGTGAGCGACAACAATGTGTAGGAACATATGTTGGTAGAGGCTATACAAAGTCTGAACGTAGCTCCTGGTAATAAATCATTTTGTTTTTCTAACTTTATTTAGCACTCTCTCTTTCTCCCTGTCATTCATGGAGGCTAATGAGGAATTTAAACTGTCCTATGTTGTTATCCATTGTAACTTCCTCCCTCTCTCTATTGTTAGTTTCCCTTTAAAATACAAAGAACATACATACATTACTCATAAGAGAAGTACCCCAAAGTCGAGGCAAGGTTTAAGTTTCTTTTTCTTTAAATGGTGACAGAACACAGAGGAAAAAGGAAGAGCTCCAAATCTTGTACACTACTGCCACAACGTACAATAAAAGACCAACAGGATTATTAGTAAACAAAAAATATTATTTTCCCTATAACTGCTGTTAAAGACAATGTGCAGCCTCTTAAAAACACAAAGTGCTTTATACATAACCACAATTGTGCAAACATAAATGCACACAAATGATTATTCAAAACAACCAACAATACTACCTGTGAAAAACATTTAAACTATACAAAAAACAGGAATATACATTAGTCATGAAACCGTCTCTACAATCTTTGAAACAGACAGTCAGTTGGTCAGGTACGAGCAACCACAAGACAGACTGCATGCAGCTTCACAGATAGGCTCAGTCTGCTGATGGATGCACAGTCAACAGGCCTTGTTCAAATGGGCCTTTGAACTTCAGGTCCACCCAGACACTGAATGTGCTTCAGCCTTTCAGTTTCAGGAAGTGTCTAATTTCTATTCGAGGAAGTGCTGAGAAGTCACCAGTAAATTTTTTTTCTACTACTGAATTTGACAGGAGATACATTTACCATCTTGTCCACTAGATGACAGCACCACCCTCTAAAACCAAATACAATTTCACACAGGTGAAATTCTTGACAAGTTCTCAGTTAAAACATTTATCTCAACACACACAAACCAGTGAGTGACCACCATTTATCTTTGAGGCTGCTATATAAAAAGGAAAGTTGACACACTTAGATGAACTGCACATTACTAAAACTCACTCCTTAAATAGTCCTCCACCTGAAGTCAATACACATATAGTACATTGTTGGTGTGAAAAGCCAAAATCCTAGGCCTCATCCACAGAGACCAAGGGATGGGCTTAAAAACCAAGAATGCTAAAAGACAGCCAACTAGTGAACTGTAAACACCCATAAAACCTACATTAACATCCATTAAAACAACAGTCATACCTGTCTCTTCTGGGAGAAGGAAGCCGCTGTGGAAGCGGTGGTGGACCTTTAGGGCCTCCCCCTACTTTTGGCGGGAGAGGTGGAGGATTTCTGTCATCACTGATGCAGGAAATGGGAGAGATGGGTGAGATTTTTATTCCTCCATCACTACACAAATGTTGGGTGGGTGGCTGAATAGGTAATGTCTGAGGCCGAGTTTGGGTGGGGGTATGGGTAGGTGTTGAACACATGGATGCAGATCTTTTCTGTACATCTGGGGCTTTACCCGCATGTCTGTCCTCTTTAGGGGAGACAGGGATCTGAGGATGAGGTGAGAGCCTCAGAGCAGAGGTGAAGCGCTGTGGAGGGCAGTTAGGCATGCTTCGGGGAGGGACAGGGGGTAAAAAGGCATCGGGGGTCTGAGAGACAAGGAGGGAAGAGGGGCAGTCCACTGGAGCACTTGAGCGAAACCTAGTCCTCTCTTTAGCCAAAGGGCTTTCCCTCTCTCCGTCTATTCCTCCATTCCTCTCTTCCTCCTTTCCCCGCCTGGGTGCTGTTGGTCTTTGTGCAGATACTGAATTCTCCTCTCTTCCACCACTTTCTCCTCTCATTCTGAACACCTGTCTCTCCCTGGGGACTGGTTTCTGTCTTTCCCTGGGTGTAGGTCTCATTGACTCTCCATCGCTTTTCTCCCTTTGCTTACCAGGTTCTTCATGCACTGTGACAGGTACAGGTCTCTCTCTCTGCAACTCTTTAGTATGGCCCGTTTCCTCTGATGTCTGCTCTCTCTCAGACCATAGAAGGTGAGAGTGAGTGTCAGACTGTGTCTCACGATTACCATGCGTTTTGTTCAGGCTGGTCAGGATGCGTCTCTGGTGACCCGGCAGAGTGATGCCCATCCGTTCCAGCTGATCTGGCGTGAGGCTGTGGCACTGTCGTAACGTTGTCAGCCCAGCGCTTTGAAATGCTTCCGAATATTGCTCCAGACGAAGCACACATAACCAATCCCACACATTCGTAAAAGATTCAGACTGAGACATGACTGATGAATGTGAGGGCAAGTCCAGATTTTTAACACATCAGATCATGGTTTACCTATGGAAGAAAAAAAAAAAAAAAAACATTTACAATGTAAGAAAAAGCACTACATGCATTCAAGAAAATGATCTGCATCACACAGGGTGTTCCAGAGGAACAAGTAAAAAAGCATGTATCAGCACAAAGAAAAGATTTATTTTTTCCCCAATTTAAGTTTGTAGTTTAGTTCCTAAAATCTGTCTAGTTATAGACCAGATTATGAGTAACACTTCCTACATATTGCACTATTTTGAGAAATCTTGCATTGGGTAATTCGTTATGGCAGCAAAGTGTAGCAATAATTTTACTTCCTGAAAGACAGAAATAATTATTATTAATAATCAAGATTGCGATGGTATCAGTCTGAGAGTGGGTCATTTTTAAACACGATAAACAACTGTTTCTGACTGACTTTTACCTCAGTAAAAGAGGTAGATATATTAATGCCTCACCAGTAAGATCCCCTAGTCTTTAGTCATTTTGATAAGCACTGTCAATTTGGTGGCGATGCACAGCTTGAACACAGAACAAAATGTGGACTCTGAATCATGGCTCAGGTCAGATCATATTTTATTACAGTATGACTTAGAAAGACCGCCATTACTGTAGATCTGTGTTCATTTTCTAAAGTATAGCTCACATACAAGACTTCCTTCCTGGACAAACAAGGAACTGCATATACAGTACTTGGCATCAAGAGTAATGCTTTTGAACAGCCAACACGCAGTCAGTATTGCAGCACTATCACACAAGAGGCCACTATGGGAGGAAGTGTAACTGGCTCAACACATATTGGCAAACAGCACATTCACACAGACTCACTCAATTTCAGAACATCTCTCAAACACACACTCAAATGCTGCATAAATGGATTCAATACCAGCTTCAATTAGCACTCTCTTTACATAGAATCCCCTCTAGGTTTTGTTCTTCTAATGTAGGATATGAATCACATACATCATGACTGTCTAAGCCTAAGGACTTCTTTTTGAAGTTTTCACATGCCAACCAGTAACAATGCCAGGCCTTCTGAACAACTAAATGCGTGCCAGCTCCCAGCATTCACGTGATGCAAAGCTGCGTCATCGTAGGCAACAGCTCAGTAATGGGGTTGTGAAAACAAGCAAAAATGAATTCTGAAGTGTGGACCATACCTCCAAAAGGTATTTTGTTGCTGTCATCATCAGTAATCAAACACCTACTGCATTTATCTCCCTGCCTTGTATATTTGGCCACAGGGGAAGTTGCTGCCACAAAGTCTTTCCTCAACACGTACACGCAGTGCAATGTGATACTGAAAACTAGTGTTAGAGTACTCGAAAGTGGTATTGGTGTCATACTGGAATCAAAACAAATAAATAAAGATTTGTATTAATCCCACCAGGGGCAACTGGGTCAGCTGTTACAGTAAAATACACACACACACACACACACACACACACACACACACACACAGCACATAAAAACAATGTTAAGTGACACTGGGAGGATAAAGATGGGGAAACCTGTAAAGCAAGCACAAATATATACGACATGGAAAACCCTGAAGGCAGCAAAGCCATCTCATGAGGTGAAGCCAAAATACTTGTCACTTCCCTGAGTTATATTGATAACAACAGATTTAAGTCGCTTTGCTTCACCCCAGTGATCCTTGAGCGGATTTTAACAATACTGTTCAAGCTGTTTCCTACTTTCACAGTCAAACTTTGAAATCAGTAAATAAAAGAGAAAGAGATGACACACTCCATAAAAGACTGATAAAACAGCCAAGAATAGCAGGAGAGTCAGGGAATAGAGTAATTTAAGGAAAAGGTGCGGTTAATCGACCGCATTTTATTCGGTCTTGTCTAGGTCTTAGACGAAGAAGACTTGTGATTTTATTTCAAGCCCACGACTGATCGTCAATGTGATCAAACAACCGATTGGATATTTCTCTGTACCGTCGGTATATACCTACTATAGTAGTTACACCCAGAGAGGGGTAATCTCTTAATGACGACTGCAAAAAGAAAGAAGCTATAACCAATCTAGCCTATTTTAGAACTAAAGATTTTGCTAACCTAGCTTACAATGATACTAATGTACTGTGTTAAGTTGCGTTAGCCTGAGACGACCTTGCTAAGTTTTTTGAAAGGATATTCACAAACTGTGAGCTCCCGGATCAATAAGTCATAGTGAAACGTTGTTAAAACATAAACAGCGCCTCTTTCCAACTGTATTAAAGTAGAAAACAAGCTTCAACCCAATTTTCATCCAAACGAGTCGCTCTCAGACCTTTGCGCACACACCGAACACCGGTCTCTGTGCAGTCAGCTGTGAAATGAGTGCGCAGGGACCGTATGCAAAGTGCAACACCTAAAATATTTAATAACCTAACTTCTCTTTTATATGGTATAGTACAATCAGATTCAGTTCAACTATCAGTGGTCTCCTGCTGTTTAGGAAGAATATTCGCATCTAAACCACAGTTTAGACGCGAATTAAAAATGTAACATCCATTGCCCTGTACTACATTTCATTTGATTAGTGTAATCTACACATATAAAGATGCCATTGGCTATTTTCTTTGATTTGATTTATTCTTTCAAGCATATACAACAGTTGATATACCAACACACCTTTTTACACACAACCCAATATCAATTTGCTTATACCTAGTACATGCTTGAATGGAGTAGGAAGAAGTCAGACTTATCTAGTCCTACCCCATGACATCATCTTACCATCATTGGTTTGCAAGCAATAAATGATTCACTTCTACACACACACACACACATTATACTAAGAAAGAATAACAGTGTTAACATTCTTACATCACCCAAGTGATACAAAATATACACCACACCCACAATAGTCCATGTAATTAATCATTGAGCCTATTCTTGCATATATCGTTAATTACGAGTATCTTTTGCAAGAAATTTTCTTAATGAAGACAGAAGATCAGGCAAAATTACATTCAAGTTTTAATAGAGCCCGTTACACAGTAATTAAAGTAACTATAATCAAGGGCTTGACTGTAGACACTGATATTCAGTTGGTAGTAAATGTATGCTTAGCATCTGCTTATTAATAAAAACCTGCACTTTCTGTCTTCAGAAATAGGACAGACATCTTTACCTACCTATCTTAATGTTCATTAGCATAATATATTGTGGGGTTTGTCACCATTAAATTAAAATATTAAAGATTAGATTCCATTATAATACAATTTTAATTAATA